TTTGAATTTTCATCTTTTTTGCCTTTTGATTTATTGCGTATACTCATTCTTTATTTGACATTGTTTTTTCCAGTTGAAAGAAAAGGAAAACAACTACTTAAAAATTATCGAAGAATTACGTCAGTCCAATGAATCACTTAATTCAAATCTTGAAAACATGACGCATGGTAGCATTTGGCATGTAATAGTCGTATTATTTGCTAATGCTCTGTTTTAGAGCTGACCCGCAAGTCATCCCAGTCCTACACAACCGATGAACAAGTGCTGCAGCTGAAGAAGTTGCTCGAAAAGGAACAGCAGTTGAAGAAAAGCGTAAATTATTTAAATTATTGCAGTTATTTTGAGGTGGCATTTTTTCCTACTTATCACGTCTGTTTGCATTTTATCTAAATATCACTAGTTTGCTTTATAACAGTCAGCGTTTCCAACAACTGAAAGGTAAATTTTTAAGCAAATGTTGTACTGATCTCCCATTTGCTTATTTTTTTATGAGAACAGTGATTTGACACTGGCCTCTAGACGATGTTTCGTTTTGTCAGATTTCTTTAGCTTATTTTTATACTGATAGATTACGTTTAAGCTGTTGAGTTGTTCATTCATAACCTTGTATTTCAATCGTTGCTTCGTGTTCAGGCAATCGACAAGCTTACAGAAGTTATGCGCATGAAAAATCCTACCAGCAAGAAAAATATAAGATTTGCTGAGTTAAAGCGAAAGGAAAAGGAGTACAAGAAACTTCAGCAGGATTTACAGCAGGTTGACAGACTTGTTGTTCATTGCTAACTTTTTAAATCTCTTAATGACCTCTGTGTGCTTCAGGAAAAGTCAAAGTACGATGAAATGGTGACCCGCTTCCAAAGGGATATCAGCAGTCTGCAGTCGATGCTCTATGAAGGGGACCAGGAGAAGCAGCGTCTTGAGGTCAACCTCGAATGCAAGAACACTGAGCTGGAGGCGCTTCAGCGAAAACTGGCCGCAGTATACAATGAAACCGGCAGCATCGATTCTGATAATTTTCTTGATGTTGTCGATGGATGCGGCGAATGTGACGAACGAGGTTCCACAATTGTTAATAGCATACTTAAGTTTAAATCAAAATAGTGGTTATTTAAATATATTAATATTTAATAATTATTTTATATCTTCGTCCATGTAAAAGCTATTTT